AGGGGCGGGGGACGTCCCTGTGTTAACTGGGTCGCAGACGACCTGGTTTCTGAGCATAAACCAGCATTTAACCCCACACTGCTCCCCGGGTGCTGCACACACACAGCGGCCCACCGCTCCCCTAAGGGATGGGTTAAATGCGGTAAATTTCTGCAATGTGAGATCATTAAAGTTAATTATTCTCAACAATAGGAAAACATTAAATAGATATATGTTGGAGCTCATTTATGGAAAATAAAAACCCTATTGAAAGCGTTCCGGTCAAGTATCATTTTCATCAGTTTCATTAGTTTCATCTAAAGTTACACCCTTGTATGTGTGTACCTGTCTAGCCCTCAGAGTGAGGACCATTTTTTCCAATTTCACCATCTAATAGAGGACCAGTTGTTGCAAAGTGAGGACATTTTGCCATTCCTCACATGCTATTTTGCTAACGGTTAGGTTTAGGGCTGAGGTTGTATAATTAATTACCTGTGAAACGTCTTCCCACAGCCAGAAAACTGCTTGTTGTTGCAGCCAAATGCGACACAGGTCGGCATGTTTAAAGTTCACTCTATGAGAGCAGGGAGTATCAAGATGGCGGCATGTGACGTCAGTGGCTGGAACCTGCAGAGTAAACAAAGGAAGTCTAACATTATCAGTGCTTATCATATTGTGTTTAACTGCTGTAATTTTAGACAATGCAATGAGCAGTTATACATGAGATATCTACTGAAACAAACAGATGTGAACGGCTGAGATCTACTGGTTATTGTGTTTGCTGGGCTAACACCTTTAGCAGAAGCTAACATGAAATCAGAGGATGATGACTGTTAAAGTGACAGCGCAGCAACTTCGTTCATTGTAACTCGTCGCTCTAATATATCATAAAACATGTTATTGATCCTGATGCTAACCGCTAACAGCCTCAGCTGGAGCTCTTTGAACAATAGCTACCTAGCTGGGTTAGCGTCTCCTTGCAGCAGCTATGCAAACAACAGCTTCTTCATCCAACTTTCCCTCCTTCCTCTGTTTGCTCCACCTAGTCTTCATCGCCTCTTTTGATTTCTACATTCTCATCGTTTTTAATGTGTTCCAGTTCGAAATGACACGATTTAACCTCACTCAGTGTGATTTGGCTGGACAGAGATAAAGCTACAACACGTAGCTTATGTCATTTACCCAGAATGCATTGCCGTTTAAAGAGTATTTCTTCTTTTGTTTAATGGCGGTTGGCAAGCAACGTTTAGGAGCGCATTAGCGCCACCTTCTGAATAGGAG